ACACACACACACACACACACACACACACCTTCCTCTTCAGGTGGATCAGTTTCTCCGGTTTCCTCTTCACAGGCAAACTGTCCCCAACTCGTCCTGTAAACACACAGACACCAGAACAATAATTACACCACAACAACGAGTCAGTCAGATACACACGACTCGTTACCTCTCGTTTATCAGATCTCTGTGTGTGTGTGTGTGTGTGTGTGTCTCACCGTGTCCGTCGCTCTCTCCTAATCTCCACAACTCTAAATGTTCAGGGAACTGGAAGAGCAGCCGTCCTGCTTTCTTAGCACAACAAACCAGACTCCTCTACACGGAGGAGGAGAAGAAAATCAGTCTCACACATATTTACATGATGATCTTTAAATAATAAGAAACTACAGGAGCTGGACTCACGTGTGGAAAAGCTATTTTGCGCAGTGACGACTCCGGGGTGTTCTTCTCCACCTTGTCCAGCAGGGGGCGCACTACCAGCTGGGTGTCCATGCCTGACAAACAAAAGATCACCATCGTTATGACGACTAACTCCGATCGGTCACAGTTCTCACGGGTTCATTGTTTTAGTTACGATAACTAAGTTTAACAATTCTTCAAAGTCACGTTTCCGTTACAGACGTGATTATTGAACGAAAATATTAACGGAACATTTGCAGATAGAAGAAAATAAACTTGGTGTAAAGTTTAATATTTACAAAATAACCAGCTTGTCCAGAATCATTATTACTCTAAATTACACATGAACATAAGTTTTTATATATCAAACAGAAAACAGGGGGTTCAACACCGACCTCCAGAAACCACCGCGGTCTCTGTGTGGACCAGCGCCCTCACGTCATGCGAGTGGTTTTTGAAGGTCCTGGTTCTGACCCACTCTTTGTCCTGCTGAGCCGCAGAGGAGATGAACTGGAACTGGGTGACGGTTCCCTCTGACGTCCCGGCGATGACGCTGCTCTCATCCTGTTGAGCAAAGTTTAACATCATTTCTTCTGTACTTGAAAAAAGTGTCTGGAAGTCGTGTCACAAACTTCAGTCACATGTTTACCTGTGAAACAGCGAGAGCCAGAACGTCCCACTTAGAAACCAGGTGAGTTCTGACCAGAGTTCCCGTGTGTCCGTCCCAGATCTGGACTTTTCCAGCAGAGTCGCCGCTGATGATTGTGTGATTGGACAAGAAGACGACGCTCCACACCACCACCTCCTGGCTCTTGGACGTCCCGACACCTCTGTCCACCAGGAGTCTGTGTGTGGCTCGTCCTGACGGCAGCAGAAGAGAGAGCAGAGACAGAATCTTATGATAAAGAGACGCACTTCTGGATTGTTTATTCTATTCAGAACAGGTCGTGAGCTCACATCACTTCGGGATCAAATCGACTCACCTGTTTCAGCATCAAAGATCCGGATCATGTCCATCATTCCGGCAGCGATCAGAGAACCAGACAGATGCCAGGACAGAGATATAATACGTCCTGGAAGACCACATCCAGAGAAAATGATAAAGGTGTCGGAAGACACACAAATACAGAAGTGTAAACAAAATGATGGAGTGATGGATAGAAATCAGATGTTTCTCACCTTTCTGCCTGTCGAGGTTTCTCTGAAACTGGATCGTCTTCTCTAGAATCTCAAACATCTTCACTGTCCCGTCCTCACAACCGACCTGTCTCAGAAAACATTCGCTCGATTAAAACCGAGCAGACTTTGGTCCTTGTGTGGATGAATCTGAGCAAATCGAGTGTAAAATGCACAAGAACTCGACCGACCGCCAGCAGTGATCCCTGGCTGTTGGCGCTGATGGTCCAGACCGGTCCTCCGTACGCCTCCACTGTGTATCTGGGCCGCAGGTTCTCCAGGTCGTACTCTGTGATCTCTCCATTCAAACCAGCAGCGAACAGACGCCGACCCACCCAACACAGAGCCTCCACCGTCCTGCCGTCCTGTCCTGGAATCACCTGGGCACCAGATAAATAACAACACGAGCAAGTGAGGAGATGATCCGTCCAGTTCTGTGACCTGTTCACTTTGGTTGAACGGAGACGGAACGACTGAACGTCTGGAAGTTAACGATGATAAACAGCGAAACCAGTGACGTCTTTATCCCTCGTTCACAGATCAGGAAAAATAATGTGGCGTCACGAGTCTCCACCTCTGACTGTGATGTGGTGATTGTGACACAGGACGGGTGTTCGATGCCGGGTCTGAACAGGTCTAATCTCCAGGATTGGGTGATTTAATGGGTGGGAGACAGAGTTACACAAAACTCCATTAACAAATACAACAGTTTAAGGTTTCTTGGCTTCTCTGCATCAGTGCACAGGAAGGAGAATGTTCCTGGGATTCTAAACAGTGACACCAAACCTCTCTCTGTAATACGGCGCACTGAAGAAGCCAGTTCGTGTGGAGTCCGAGCCTCTGTGTGTGTGTAGATCACGGGGCTCCTACCTTCTCCTGGAAGTAGTTGTCGGTGAAGTTGAACACCTCCACGGCTCCGTCGGCCCGGGCCAGGGCGAGCCGCTCCGAGCCGCTGTTAAAGGCCAGGGCCCGGATCGCAGCGGGCATGTGGTCGAAGAATCGAACACGATGAACCGTGAACTCCCCCATGTCTCACTGAGGGAGGAGGACACTGTTAAAACACATGTAAACATCTGTGAACACGTTTCTCCCCCATGTAAACACGCTGCTGCTCCCCCCCTCCCCCCCTCCCCCCCTCCCGGTGAACTCGCGGATCTTCTGACGTCACAGTTCATAAACTTCATCGACAGTGAAACTCTGAATAAAACGTCACGAACCGTGTTTTTCCTTCAGCTCCTCCACGAAGTTTATCCACAAACCGGAGAAACTCCAGCAACCACGTTGAGCTGCTCCAACCCGGAACTGATCCACCGAGGACAGGAAACGGAAACGCGTCGTCGCGGTGACGCGGGAAACGCTGTTGACTAGTTGGCGCTCGAAGCTGCTGAATCAGTTTTTTATGAACGAACAAGATTTTAACGTATTTTAGTTAAATATTAATGTGAACGTTGATATAAACATTAAACGACGTCACGTTCCTCCGGGACAATGGTTCAAATCGTCATCAGGTAAAAAACTGAACTAACTTCCACTTGAATCTGTTGAAACCTTAGACTGTAAATATATAAAGATATAAAGAGGTTGAAACCAGCAGCTCATTGAAATGTTGTGTTATATTCAGGACATTCAGCGTGAAGAACAAACTCTGCACGTGTCCGCGTTTTCTCTAAGTTTGAGCTTTTTTAAGACGGTAAATCTAAATCCTCATTTAATCACTGTGAAATAAAATCATGTAGAAAAGTGTCGGCAGACTAAATACAAGAGAACACGTGGGAGCTACAGTCAAAACAGACGTTTTCAGGTTAAATTCAACTTTTTATCATATTGTTAAAACTGTGTGAATCATTTGTACGGAAGCGTTTTGTATTCACT